TCTCTTCTTCTTTCTTCTCCTCTCTCTCTCTCTCTCTCTCTCTCTTTCTCTCCCTCTGTCTCTCTCAGTCTCTAGCTCTCAATCTCTAGGATTCCATATATTCGTTATCGAAGGGTTGGCTCTACAGGCAGCAGCATTTCTGCATTATGTACAGAATATGAACCTCGAAGAGAATGCTCTATATCCACACCTGTATCAGGCCATACAAAAGTGATAATAAAAGGGGGCACTCTGTTTTCAAACTTAATGCTACATGCAGTCTGTTACTCGATACACGATATTACATATGAAAAAGACGAGAGAAGCAAAATGTTAGAATTACAAAAAAGTAAACTAGGGTAGAGAAGAAAGCGTAAGCCATCTTATGTATAGATATGTGTACTACAAGCATTTCTAACCTAGAAATGATAAATAACAGCAAGTTGGGAAATTGTGATCACAAAAGTAAAAACTTCAAAGTTTATTGTAGATAAAATAATTGCATGTAACGAACATAAGTGAAATACTCCATTAAAATAGAGTAATTAAACATCATGTGTGTGTACGTGTATGTGTGTGGTGTATATGTGTGTGTGTGTGTGTGTGTGTAAGCTTTATGCTTATAAAAGTTTATAAAATTAAAAAAATCTAATCTGGCACAGGACGCAATCAGTTACAGCAGACTGAAAGTGAAACAATCCGTAAATTAACAAAAGCCCATTATACAAATGTCTCAATATATCTAACGTCAGCATGGTGCATCTGTGTAATCGTCATTTGCGCATTTGTAGTTTGGTGTATAGCCTGTTTTGCGACTGGAAGGTACCTCACCTCTTGTTGTGCCTGCGTAGTCGCTGGCAATGCATGCTGCTCACTATTCATCTTCGTTCACTGAAGAATATTAATTAAACGTGTCTGACATACTTCATTTTTCATCCTGCAAAATGCATTATGTAAGGTTAATCTCGAGAGAGCTCCATCCGCCAGAGCAGAAGATATTAACAAATAAAGAATTAACGAGACGCAAAGCGTATTCGCAGTTGGGAATTCGAACGGGGATTGAGAACCGATCGGATCGCTTCGGACCGATCGTCGAGCCACCACAGGCTTTAATTAGCGTGGGAAAGTTGGCATGCAACGCTAATTAAATAACGTAATGCGCAACGGCAGGCGTCTTGAGTTTGTAACGACTTTTTTTTTATCCTTCTGTAATATCGATTCGCAATCAAAAGTGCGCACCATATTGTTGTAACATCGCGGGAAGATGTACTTTTGGTCTCTCCACGATCTCGCCTCGGGCCCTCGGTCCTCGGGAGTGCGCGTCTAAAGGAGCGCGATCCCGTGCTGCGTGCGTGACTCTCGACTCCGACGGGGGCTCAGGCCGTCGCGATCAACAATACGCGACGGCGGCGGTGGCCGTTGCGCCATCCGCGATCCGAGATACTGGAGCGAAACGTGTTATCGTCTAACGTTTAACCTCGAAAAACCAGCCGTGCCACGAAAGCGATGGGCGAAGCGAGTCGTGCGTAGTCGCGCCCGAATTCGCGTAAACATTCGTGCCGAACGAGCGAACACGAACGAGCGAGCGAGCGAGCGTCGCGAGAGCGGGAAGGCGCCATTCGCGACGACGGCGGTAACGATGATGACGATGACGATGACGAGCGAGAAGGAACGCCGCGTCGATATATAACACGATTACAGTTTAACCTCGCGGCGCTCTTCTCTCGGCCGCGCGAGCGGGAAAGGGTGAGTCATCCTTTGGTACGCGTCGCCGCTGCGCTGCGCGATACGGAAAACTCGAGCCTTTCAATCTCGACTTCCTCATGCTCCATCTCCATCTCTATCTCTATCTCTATCTCTCTCTCTCTCTCTCTTCTTTCGCGGATTACAATAAAATTGTACTCGATACGATTATCTTGGCGGAGCGCTAGATCGAAGAAGAGACGAGATGTAGAAAAGCGACGAATCGAGAACGGAGGGATCTTTAATGGCGCGCGGCC